GAAGAATATAATAAAAATGGTGTGCAAGTTATTGGTTAGCTATCCAACAACTTGCGTATCATCCGAAATGGGCTCTCCAACTCAACGCTGCTTCAAACTTGTTGTTGACGTGCTGCAATTAGTCGGATGTATTGTTTCTAAGCCTTCAACTTGAAGAGTGTGTGGCGCCATCTCGTGAGGATATTCAGTATTAGACTGCAAGCCTATTTAATTCCCGAAAGCGAGACTTGTAAGAGGCATTAAAAATAAATAATGCAATATCACATTAGCCGGAATATATGACGGCTCGGCATGCTAAGCGATGTTGAATTTTGAAACATATTTTTTAAACGTTAAGGATAAGATGCAGATTTATCGTACTTGCTTTAGGATAACATTTATATAGTTCCAAAATTTGCAAGTTAAATATTAGTATTAAATGGTTTTCGAAAATTCCTTTGAAGGAAAGAAAGAACATGGTCTTATACTCGGACCAGTATCATATCATTATTTTTATATAACATGAAAATATAAAATTCACAGTTTGAAAAACATTTCTTATACAAAGCAAAAATCCAGAGAAAATGAAGTATGACAAAAATGATGAATTTCCCATGGAAAAGAGTACTAAATTACACCTTTCAGAAACCTACTATACTGTTTTGAACTTTTTATTGCCAGGTAAAGCTTTTTATTTATGGTAAAGCTTTTTATATAAATGTTAATCTGCATATTTCTTGTAAATTGCAAATTACATAATTAATTTATAGCATTATCCCCCCATTCCTTTAAAAATAATTTTCGTGTTCAAATTTATTTCTCAGATGGTTTCTTTTGCTTGAAATTCCTCGTATTCTTCTTTAGCTCTTTGTAGCTATAGAAATATTCTTTATATATCTCTTTTGCGCAGATTTCATTTTATACTCGACGAGGGATCTTTGAGCCTAAAATTTCCCCAATTTCTGTAAGATTTTCTGTGTATTTAGTTGTATCAATTTATATTTTATTGAAAATTTCAAGGCAAAATTTTAAACTTTTCCGGTTTTTACTTTTATATTTCTAGAGGAAAAAATAAGAAGAGTAAATATTTTTATTTAAGTGTTGATCTAATATTTCCTGTTTTGCGTCAGCGTCAGCATTCATAATCTTAAATGAAGTGTAAAGTTTGAGGACAATTTTACTCACATACAATTAAAACTAGTATAATTCTAATCATAACCCTTCTCGAGAAAGAGTTGCATTGTTATGTTTGTGGAATTTAACTGTCGTAAGCCGAATTTATCGATCAAAGAAAACGATTCTGCAGCATGCAGTCTCTCACTTTGCTTCTTTTTCAGTTCTTCAGCGTATAAAAATAATTCTGAGCATTTAAATCACTAATTCTATTTTAAATTTCCTTTATCTTATGCAAGTAATTCTATTTTAGGTTTTTATTGTATCTATTCCTGTAATTTTCATATTTTTACAAATTACTTTTCCAGCTCATTCCGGGTTAATTTAGTAGATTCAGTAACTTTACTTGATTAATTTTTAAAAATTTGATTCTATTTCAACTTTCTAATTCCTTTTTTGTCTGTTTTCTTTATTTTTAACCTAATTAAATATCGTTTTATGCCGCCTTAGCAGCAACTGAGCAGGATATTGTTCTCAAAGTCTTATTTTCATATCTTTTCAATTTATATATATATATGTCATAATAAAAGCACTAGGAAAAGACGGAACAATGTAGATGCGTGATTAGACCCATATTGAAGAAGATTTTGATTTCATAGTATGCTAGTAATGCTAACTTGGTAATATCTAAAGAACTTGGCAGTCGAGGCAGTTTTAATTCCATTTTTATTTTCAATTGATATTTGTGACCACAATCACTTGGCACTCTAGTCGTGCATTTCCACAGAAGATTTACATTTTTGATATTGTTGAGATAGAAAGCAAGCCAGCGAAATTAGATCTTAGCACAGTAGAGAGCAAAAGCTGAAGTGCGTAGTTATGAAAGATGGATGCACGCAAAGAGAAAAGTTTGGTTTACAATTTACGTCATCAGAGCTGCGCGGGCCATAAGAGTGATCTAGAAATGACGCAATGCAGAGAAGTTATTACGATTTTAGAATAGAGAGGAAGAATTAATGTTTATAGTTATATTATAATTCTGATTCATATATTTTTATCTTACATATTCCCCCCTTCAAAAAGAAAAAGGCGTAGCGACAGAGAAGCCTTTTTAAAGGAGAAAGAGTTAAAGCACTAGCAAATGTAAAAAAAAAAAAAAAAATAAAAAAAAAAAATAACATAAAATTTTTGTTTGTAAAGTATAATTTATAAATATCAATTTTTTTAAAATAATTTTAATTTTTAGAGTCCTATTGAATTTTTCAGCATTTCAGTCCAAAAGTCTTTTTGTTTGGAGAGTTCACATAATCATAATTCTTCAGGGAAGGTTCTTGTTATCCAGAATATCACAAAATAAACTTTACATAATCATTACTTATAATTAAATGTAATAACATAAATATTTATGATATTAATTTTCATACTGATAAATTATAATTTAACACCATATAATAATAGGAGTAAGCTTCAGAAATTATGGTTTCATCTTTTCATTTACAATTCCTGATTTTACCAAACTGGAAGCCTCGCAATACTTCTAAGCAAACATATCCATCAATAGAGGCTGTACCTCTTGAGCTAACCAGTGTGTTCTCTGCACTTGGTGGCCCAGGGTGCCTAGGCAGTTACTTGAAAAGGCCTCCGTTCCTTGCAATTAAGGTAACTGGCCTTTGAGAACTGCACTAATACATTCCAATAATAAAAAAATATAATAATAACAACAATATAAAAAAATTTACACACACTCATAAAATGAGAGCCTCCAACATTATCTTACTTGAAGAGGGTGAAGTGAACAACTGTACAGAGGTAATTACAGGCCTCTGTTTTAGGAACCCAGTACTCCCTCGACATACACTATACTTAACACACAATCACCCATAAATTTAACATGCATTTACCATAATTTCATATTACGTATCTGTAATAATTTCACTTTTTTTACACCTACTTCATTTTTAGAATAATTATAAAATTCGTATTCAAAATTCTCAACAAAAATTTCAAAAAAACATAAAACTTATCTTAATATCCTTTCCCTATGAATAATTTAAATAGCTTAAAATTCGTTACTTAATTTGCTCACACATAATTATGAAAATTTAGAAAAATTAATGAACAAGAATTTCAGATTTTCTCAAAACAAATTGCAGAAATTTTAACCAAAGTTGAAATGAAAACTATAGAATCCGCAGCACATTAAATAATTTAGTTCCTGAGCTAGATTCACACGAATGTAATATTTTTGAGCTGTTGAAAAGCGGAAAAAAGTGCAAATAATTTCTGTCGCACATACTTGCCAAACACTAACTCAGATCGACCTTGAACCCGCTGTAATGCTTAATTCCTAAACGGTAATTCACTGATGATTTCCTTTTCACTAGGCATTCGAACTTCTCAATTTATCGAGAGATTACTTTCAATCTGTAAACATACGCGTGATTATTTTTTGAAGCACTTGCAAAACACCACAGCAGAAGGATGATCGGTTATTTTTTAAACACTGAAAAAACAAAATTGATGATTCACTTCTTTCACATTATCTTTGATTTATCACAAACGATGATTTGAAGAGCTGAACTAAATTTTCCATTGAGATCTTAGGCTGCAGGAAACTACTTAATTTCATAATAAAAGCACAAAGAAAAACGGAACACTGTAGATGCGTGATTAGACCCATGTGAGAAGATTTTGATTGCTAATTGAGTAATGCATTGGTAATATATAAAGAAACTGGCAGTAGACAGTTTTAATTCCATTTTTATTTTCCAATTGATATTTGTGGCCACAGTTCACTTAGGCACCTCTAGTCGTGCCTGTTCAAGAACATTTACATTTTGATATTATTGCAATTTATTGCATATAGGCAATAGCGAAGTAGCGTAGCGAAATTGCGTCAAGCACTAGTAGCAGACAGCAAGCTAAAGTGCGTAGTTATGAAAGTATGGAAGCACATGAAGCAAAGAATTTTTGTTTTGAGGTTTTACAAGTTTTGATTAAAGTTTCAGTTCCCAATTATTACGTCATCAGAACAGCGCATGGCAAAATGCAATGAGTCTAGAAATGAACGCAATCCAGAGAAGTTATTACGATTTTTAGAATAGAGGTGGAGAATTAAAGGGTTATCGTTAGTGTTAAATTACCGTAAGTTTAAATTATAATTCTGATCATATATTTTATCTTACACCAATATATATATATATATTACAATCTTAATTTACTTATTTGCAGCATATTGCGCAAAATGTATCTAGACCAAAGGTCATTCAGTATTGTAATAACTACCTTGCTTGTTATATATATATATATATGTAAAAAAAATAAAGGCTATATAAAAGATTAAATTAGGAACGCAAATTTCCCTTTTCAATTCTAAAAATAGTAACCTCTCTTTGCACTACGTCATTTCTAGATTAATCCATGCCATATGACTCTTACATAATTCTACATAATTCTAGTGACGTAAATACAACTAAAACTAGAACAGCCAATAGTAATTTTATAACAGTATTAACTATCCAATCAAAATGCATTGAAACCCAAAACTATTTCGTCTGAATTAAGATTTCACCTTGAACATAACACACTTGCTTTCTACGCTTTGGTCGAGCTGGACTGCAGTCTGTCTGTTCCTCCTTTCTTACTGCAAAATTATCTAAAATTTAAGTTTTTTGGAATAAGCACAATTAATGTGCCAACTTCTTTGTGGCCGCAACATGTTTGCTGAATTAAAAAATGAAGATTTAATCTGCCATCGCTTCCAGTTTCCTATTCATTATGGATCAACACTCCTACGCCATCAAAATTTCTGCTAGTCATTACTTCTAAATTTGTTTTTATCATATATATATATGTATATGTTATGTGCATGTATATTTGGCTAAATTCTTTTCTTCACGCTTTATCAGGCTATCGCAAGACAGATGGAACAGAAATGCCGCTGCCATGGAGTATCTGGTTCTTGCGAGTTGAAAACATGCTGGAATAAATTACCCAGTTTTGAGCAAGTTGGGCACTTCTTGAAGACCAAGTACGATAACAGCATCCAAGTGTCCGCCAAGGCTAAACGGAGGTTACGGAGACGAGGAAAAGTGAAGCGCAAAGTACCGGTACAAAAGGAGGACTTAGTCCATATACATAGGTCGCCGAACTTCTGCGTGGAGGATCCTAAAAGGGGAATCCTAGGAACTGGTGGGCGGCGATGCAATAGGACTGCTTCTGGTCCCCAGTCGTGTACTCTTCTTTGTTGTGGCAGGGGATATAATACTCAGGTAAGATAACCCTTAATATTTATGCAAATTACTTTTCAGAGATTTTTAATTTTGTATTACGTCTTCATCTTGAAACACATCTTCATCATGATATTGAAACATTGTTGAGCATATCGTTAAACTTGTAATGTAAATAAAGCACTGTTCATAAGATTGAATCTATGAAGCAAATAGCTGCTTTTCCCAGATTAATAATTTGTTAAAAATGGAGAGAAAAATCGATATCGATATAATGTGTCGTATAGCATGCTGCAAACTGTGTACATCTAAGCTCTGTAGTGATCAATAAACGATTATCAATGAAACAGAACTTTGCCAAATTAACACTGCTTTACTACCATTAGATGTTTAGGCTCTGACAAAAATATATCAGCACATTAGAAATAACAGCAAACTTTTGCTCCTTACTGTATCATTACAGGTGCAGCTAGGAGCAGCCATACTATCAGGATTTATCCCAGCAATTTCACATATTGAAGAGATAGTGATTGAACTTTTTTCACATGTACAATGTTCATGTTTGGCATTATGGGATTTTAACAGCCGAAGCCTATGATGGCACATAGGCACTGCAAATAACACTTCACATAGACCAGGAAATGTCGTTAGTGGACTATCGACAGATGGAAGACAGTCGTTTTAATAGATGGAAGAAGTAATGAATCCCATTTCCTCCAGCGCCATAAAGGCGGCCAAGTTTGAATGTGATGTAAATGGCATCAAGTCGTGTCTCTTTTGGTTGCTCAGTTGAAATTTAAGTAGAGGATGGACACAGAGTTTTGGTCCATGACCATCTTTGCCATCAATGATGCCATTGTTGCCATTAACATTAACCTAAAACCATGATGTTGTAACACTGAAATGCTTACCAAAATGCTGTACGGAACTGTAACTTTGATCTATTATCTGCAAATCTAATAATTTGTCTAATTAGGAAAATAACATGCTTAATTCTTGGCAACCATTGTGAAATGTAGTTTTGTATTATTTAAGGATTACGAACAACGTTAAAAGTACATGTACATACATATTTTTGTATACTAACTTGATACAATTGAAATGTAAAATATGAATATTAATATTGGCCAACGCAATAATTGGAAAATCAGTTGTGGATGACAACTACATGCATACCTTATCCCTTAAATATCATTATAAAAACTGTAAACTATTACTATATATATAGTACACATATATAATGCTACATTTTCGCTCCTGGTGGTAAAACTCGAAATATTGTATATCGCATAGCTTCAATAAAAATTCATTTAAGTGAATTGTCTTCCTTTACTAAAAATACCTCATAACAGAAGAAAACACCGTCACCCGATTTTGTTACATCAAAGATCAATAATTAGGGAAGGATTACATCGGTATCGTTCTCTCTGTTGTTAGATACATTACTCTCAATCTAACTTAACTAGCATCGGGTACATCCGCTAGTTGGATATAAAAAGAGAGGAAGAAAGAGGTAGATAGATACTGATAATCAATAATTATATACTTAGACGAATACGTATCTGTACAACCGTGCCCACAAATGTCCTTAACCGGCCTTTATTTTCGCAATTGTTGACTGTATATATATACTTCCTATTAAATTACCAATTAAACCAATATTCTCAAGTCTTAAATAATGAAAATTCACGTTTTCGTGTTATAAATTTAAAATAATAATAATTTTGTATAAAAAAACGAAATATAACTTTTTACACGTTCCTCCTGTCACTATATGTATATTTATTAAAATGTTTGTAGTCATTATAAAAAATAAAACATAAAAAGTTTAATTCTCGTACGACAAAAATTGATCGAGATATTTAATGTCAAAATTTGCGATATTTGACATCATTTGAATTTGCAATGAGAAGTCGGAATACACTGCTGGCCATCCAAACTGCAACACCAAGAGATATCACAACAAAATTTTAGTAGATAACATGTTGACCAAGTATCAAATGATTAAATTTATAGACTTCTGTGAAGTGTGGTTCCTTCAAGAATCAGTAGCCAGAGTAGCCGCCATTGTTGGAGATCACCTCTGCCACACGCCTTGGCATTGATTCAAAGAGACTTTGGATGTGTTCTTGGGGTACAGCAGACCAAGCAGCTTCCACACGTTGCCAAAGTTGATCTGGTGTGGCAGCTTGGGATGTAATCTGGGTCAATCGTTCAGCAACCATGGACCACATGTTTCTATCGGCGAAAAGATCGGAGAGCGAGCCGGCAGGGAAGTAATTCAATCTGGCGATTCACGAAGAACCCTTGGACAATGCGTGCCACGTGTGGTCGTGCATTATCCTGTTGAAATATGGCTGTGGGCAAGCCCTGAAGGTAAGAAAGGACAACTGGCTCCAACACCTCGGAGATGTAGCGCTGGCTGTTTAAAGTACCGGCAATGCGTATTAGAGGAGTGCGAGAGTAATATCCAAAACCGCCCCATACCATAATACCCGGTGCAGGACCAGTGTGACGGTGCATAACGCAGCTGTTCAGCATCCTCTCTCCACGGTGTCTCCAGACTCGAATCCGACCATCGTGATGTTGCAGACAGAAGCGTGACTCGTCAGTAAAGACAATTTCATTCCATTCTACCGTCCACGTACTTCCTTTATCGCACCATTGGCGGTGAAGACGACTGTGGTTCTGCGTCAAGGGTAGACGAAGCAATGGACGTCTTGCGGACAGACCACTCTGCTGTAAACGGCTTCGAATGGTACGCGCAAACACTGGATGACGCGTTACAGACTGAATGTGCTTCGTGATGTGATTGAGCGATCCGTCACTGCCATGCGCACAATGTTCCTGTCATCACGTGAAGTAGTGCACTGAGGTGGATGCGATGGAACACGTCAGTCCGTCGTACCCTTCTGCATCCAACGGTCACATATCCGCATTACTGTTGTTTGGTTTCGTCCAACACGACTACCAATTTCCGTGAAAGATAATCCACACTCTCGGTAGGCCACTATCCTTCCTCTGTCGAACTCGGTACTTGATCAAACGATGATCGCTGTTTACTACGAGGCATAATTGATAGTTTTTTTTTTTTTTTTTTTTTTTTAAGAAACCACAAGAAAAACACAATTGCCGAAATTGAAAACGTCGAAAACTCCAACTTAAATAGCGCTTTGAAGTGGCGCCACAGGCACGCGTGATGTGCGTCTGCGCTGAAATTCTAATTATTTGCATATCTCACCTCCGCTAATGCATGTTGTAAATTTCATGTTGTTTGCATGCTTCTTTCAGGGTGTTGCATTTACGGTGGCCAGCAGTGTAAATAAATTAGGAAAATTCGAGATTGATTTTTCACCTTTAAATGCAATTCAATGATTTCACTAGTAAATTTCACTAGTAAAATGATTTCACTAGTTTGTAAATTGTACATTTATTTCTAATTTTGTTACATTTGGTGTGCCGAAAGAATTCTCACTCACGTAATTTATAAATTTTCAAATCTAAAAAATATGCTATTAATATTCTCGTGATGTTTTATTGCTTTGAAATCAAAATCCGGTAATTATAAAATGTTTATTAAAGTACGATTGTTTTTAATTTTTAATTAATGCAAATAATATTACGAGTTGGCTATGTATCACTTCAATTTGAATATGAGTCCCGATTTCTGTATACTTCGATCCATTATTGTCGTACGGTGTCAAATTTTGCTAAAACAATTTAGGGCATAAAGAGCATGTATATGCTTAATGTCAATTTGTAGCATGCGGTTTACTGACAGAAGAATGTTATTCGCTCAGCCTAATTTTTTTTTCTATTGAACCATACTTATTAAAATTTTATCATCAATTACCAGATTTTCGAGCTATTTGAGATCTCCAAGCTTCTGAAATTGATATTGAAAAATCAAAGACATTATATCATTCTTCTGCATATACATTTCAGTAATGACTTAAAACGAAGGTGAGCTTTAATTACGTTTACAAGATTGTATAAATTGTCAATTATATGTTAATTACCATTCAGCTGTCATTTTTCTATAGGCAAAAAGATACATACATTTGAATATACTCCTTTAATGGTACTAAATGTATGTCGATACATAACGAAAGAACTCTCCAAATATAAATTTTATATGTTTTTACTTCCTTATATGAAGTAAAAAGGAAGTATTGTAATCGCGAAAAGTTTCAGGCAACATATTTCAACGAAAATATCCATTTTGACCGCTATCGAATGCAATTTAACGATGTTTTTGCGTGATATCTGGGCGTAAGGACAGAATAAAAGACACCTTTCCTCCAAAAAAATTATAAAACTGCTTTAAACTCAATTCTGAAGAGAATTTTTCGTGGCGTCTGTACGAACGTATGTACGTGCGTACGTACGTACGTATGTACGTATACGTACGTATCTCGCATAACTCAAAAACGAGTAGCCTCAGAACGTTGAAATTTTGTATGTAGGACTGCTATAACATGTAGATGTGCACCTCGTATTTTGGTTGCAATCGGCCGCACCAAACGTATATAAATATATTTATATATATATCCACTCTGTTACCCGGCTCAGTGATCTCAGTATCTTTACTCTTATATGTTTGTAAATTGTGCATTTTTTGCTTTAAAAATGATTGAATTATGTTGTTTTTATCTTCCGGTTAAGGTTTTTATGACTTTCGTAATTCTGGAAGCAATATTTGTACAATTATGAACAATTTAAAAGCTGTTTAAGTGCGGTTAAGTTTTAAATAACATGGCGGACATATTTGTTTACATTTGAAACAGCGGAATAGTAGATTTGTCGCCAATCTAGAGATACTAAGCTTCGCAATAACAAAGATAACGCCTTCATTTATTATTGCGAATTAAATCATGCTTAATCCTTTTCTGGAATTTTTTCGAGGAAATATGGTTGTTTAAGATTTACTTCGTAATTTTTAATGCAGATATTTTGAGTTTTTATGTATTTTTGCCTTGTCGCGAAGTTAGAGCTGAATTAATTGAATGAGAAATACTAAATCGTCTGTGAAAAACTGTTTCTTTTTGTTTTGTTTGCTTAATTTCTTTCATACATCGTTTTAGCTTTATTATAGTATTTGAATAGAACATGTGGCAACGATAATTCTTCAAATGATATAAATTTTGTGCATTCAGAGTGTCGTTATAGTAAACAAATATAGTGAATTTTAAAGAGTGCATTTATTCTATTGTGGTTTATGCGCTGTCGACGAAGTAGATTTAATTCAATCCAATCAATTTAAATGAAATTCACGAAAAAATGCGTATAACTTAATATTCCGTACAAGGAAGTCATGTGGTGTACACATCAGATTTTTTAACTTGCACATTCAGGTATGGAATGGATTGGACTATTCAATTATGGCAAAGCTCATGAGGGCTATCTGCCTAAAGGGAGAAATGCCTTCGTGGAAGATTTTCTAAGGGAAACTGGCTCGTATACACGTCACACATGGGGAAAACCACGAAAACGCCCATGCAGCCAACCCGTTCGCGGTATTCGAACCTCGGACCGAACTACCAGTGTTCAGCGTCTTTACCGCTCGGCCATCCATGTAAGGAAAATTGGAAAAAAAAATAAAAATAAAAAAAATAATAATAATTGCGAATAGTTGCTTATGCACTGAGTCTATTTTGATAATAGTGAACAGTATCTATGTTTAAGGAACCAACAGATGAAAGTGTCACATATTCCGTTAATAGATTACATAGCTAACTGAACATTGATTCTTTGAGGTTAAGCTGAATTATTATGAATTTTCATAGAGAATAATAAATTGGATTGTCATTTCTGAATGATTAGAGTTTCCTCATTTAAAGCTGATGAAATGAAAGGTTTCAAGCAGGGCTTAATTTCTAAGATTAGAAGTACCGGAGCCCTATGGAAGACCGTCAGCAGAGAGGAACAATAATAAATAAATAAATAAAATGACCATTAAACTCCTTAATAATTTTAAAATTAAATAGTTAATTATTATCAACTTAATTAATAGATATTTAATTAATGTTATAAATTGTATTTAATCAATAATTATTATATATAGTAATTAATTATAATTTAATTGATAACTATTATATTTATTGAAATAATTAAAGTTCAGTAATTAACTAATTAAATTAATAAAATGTAAAGAGATAAACTGAAATTATTACGCGATTTTTAATATAGTAATTTTATTGTTAAAATAAAATTTTCAAGATAAAATTTTTACTGAAATTGTTATTTAACTACATAAAAGAAGTGCCGCAGCCTTCTTATTCAAGGCTCCGGTGCGTTCCGACTAGAATTATAATTTAGTACAAAAACTAAGAAGCACCGGAACCGAAATCCGGTGGGTTCCGGCCCAATTTAAGTTCTGATCGTAGGGGAAGGAGTTCTTTTATCATCACAAAAGTTAAATATACTTAAAGTATAGCTGATGAAAATTCCAGGGCAAAACAGAATGAGGGTATGAGTGGGTGGAAACAAAAAGTGAGGGGAATCTTGGTGAGAGAAAACGTTCTCTTTGACCGCGGCTCTCTGTTCATATAATTATAGCCATCGAGCAGATGGGTGTCAGGGGTAAAGGGATAAATGAGTCTTGAATCTGACTCCTAAATGTTGAGTTGCTGGTTTCCCTTCCCCCCCCGCAATTAGTGGATACTGTGGGAAAGACGATGTATAGGACGTGCTTGAGCAGTTTATCTCAGTATTTCTCTCTTATTGTACTCGCTGGCACTTAACGCACATTTAAGAACACAAATTTTCCTTTCTGCGAGGATAACTAACTATAAGCATCGATAACAATATACTAGATACAATGGCATGGCGAGAAATTTAGGCGTTCCTAAACAACCTCCCCCAAATTTATTGCTTTTCTTAAAGGGAAAGGTTTCCGCATGCGAGTGAGGGGACTTTACTTGAACGTCTCATGTTCTCATGATTCGTATTTCTAGGGAAATAGAGTATTGTAAGGTCTGCTTATTGTTAAACTAAAACGTTAGGAATTCTAAATTGTTCCCTTTAAATTGTGATAGTTTATAAAAAGAAGAAGTACCGGAGCTCATCTTATTTAGGGCTCCGGTGCGCTCCGGCTAAAATTGTAATTTATCTTAAAAATTGAGAAGCACCGGAGCCGGGCTCCGGTGGGCTTCGGCGCAATTTAAGCCCTGGTTTCAAGTCGAAAACAGTTTGTTACACTTATATTCATGGTGGGAATGAAATCATCCATTGCCAAATATTTGAGGGTATATATTTGCATTTACTCTCAAAATTAGTATTTTAAATAAATTATGATAAAACTATGTATTCATAAATTTTAAAATATAAATAAAGTAAGCGTATGAACTATGTGTTTACTTTATATTATATACAATATATATGTAGTCTTTATCACAAAATGAGGGACATAAACTATCAACTAATTAACAACTAATATGTTGCCATTATCAGAGAAATGGGTATTTTATAATTTTCTCGAAAATTACCAAAAGGGGCATCTTCATTAAAGAGTTTCAAAAATGGAAGAAAATAAAACGTATTGAGATAATTACGAAAATTTTTTGTTTATTTAAATATCTTATCTTGTGATAAAGATGTTCTTGTGTATTCTTAACTTTTTTTTTAATATGTCTTTTTTTTTGTGCAGGTGATTGAGAAGCTTGAACGCTGTCAATGCAAGTTTCATTGGTGTTGCATCGTGAGGTGCAAGACATGTGAAATCAAGGAAGAAATATACACATGCAAGTGATGGCTACTTCCCTCTCACTCTCTAAAGAGACTGAGAGATTAAGAATTTAACCATCAAGAAATGAACCTTCGAAACTCAGTTATTGCATTTCTGCATTAACCGGTAGATGTGGATGAGTTCGGATAATCCTACGGTTGTTTATGGCACCCTTTCTAAAGCAGGAAGTCTCGACAAATCAGCAGGACCGGATTTTCTCTATCATTTGTATGCGCTATTCTTTTAAAATGGGTCGCCTGGCATAATATGCTCCAGAGAAAAAAAAAAAAAAAAAAAACTGTTAGAAAAGCGATTGAGCACTTGGAACTTTAAGTATCTTGAGTAAAGAAAGGACCGCAAAATGTATCACCAGTTTCTTGAGTATTACGAAATCAGAAAAACGTACATTTCATTTTGTAATCTAATGTTTCTAAGGGACACAAATAATTACTGAATGTCGCTCTGGAATAACTGAATCACTGTTATATGTTGTTCAATGTAACAATGCGATTAGAAGCTGTTTTTAAATGATAAAATATCGAACTTGTATTTGCATTTATGAATTCATGGATAAAAAAACAATGTATTAATCTGTGTGAATTTGGAGATGCTTTAGTTTATTGAATTTACTTGCATTTTGGTTAGTTTGTTTTGGGAAAACAACATCTCTGTCTCATTAGTGCATCTGACGGAACGAAAGAGGCATAAACGTTAAGTTTATATACACCTGAAAATGAACATTATGTGAAGTGAAAGCGTTTAGAGGACTGGTGTACGAAACACTGTAAATTTCCATTGTTTTATGTCAAAATCAGCACCTTTGTGGTGATGTAGCTAATCATTTCTACATATTCATTTTTATGTCATTGACTTTCAGGTATTTACCTTTTATTATGTCTTGTTTTTTAAGCAGTCAGCATTTTGAATATACTTGTTTTGATTTGACAATGCACTGATATGCATATTTACAAACAAAATTTCTTCACTGCAGTCGTTACAATTAATTTTTTATTTAAATTTAATCAGCAGTTTTTTTCTTTAAAATACTGCTTTCGAAATAACTTGGGCTTTGAACTTATTTCTGATATTATACTAACTGAGAAAAAGTATTATTAAGTGGGTATACCTATCTTTCTGTGATTAAAGTAACATAGTATTATTTATAACAGCCCAGGGTATTCCTTTGGGCTCCAGTTTTCATGTAATTCCATCAAACGGTAGATTTAAAAAAAAGTAAGTTTCCAGAATTGAGATACATCAAGAGAAATGTAAGAAAAATTATTAAATAAGTATTTATTACATTTGCCGCATAGAACTTATTCAGCATGGATGCTAAGATATCAGAGGAGACTCTTAAATAAGTACTACGACTCATTATAAATTTAAAATTAACTGTAACAATAACTTTTAAGAGTTATCCGAAATTAAAAATACACATAAACAAGATGACCACAAATTTCATTCCGATTTCAGCATTTTTATTACACTCAAATGATTAAAACGACGGGAAAAAATGCATGAACCAAATTCTTAAAAGTTTTGCTCCGTTATTGAAATTCAGGCTCAGGAAAGCGCGTACGGTATGCGAGCCAGAAGAAACTCAGCATTCCAAAATCAGTTGTCTGGAAAAAATTTAACGCTTCGAAGTGTGTTGGATACAACGCTTGCAAAAACTGAAATTCGCAAGCAGTCTGAAGCATAATGATTTCTGTTTTCAATTTGTGGAAAGTTAGATAATGATAAGATGTTTATGGACAAGTTAGTGTTCGATGATAAGACGGCATTCCTTCAGCCGGTCTTGTGAACCACCATAATGTAAAGAATTTAACTGATTACTGCTCGAAAATATTTTGCAGTAGAATAAATTTAAAGTAAAATCAAAGTCATATTAAGAATCAACTGTTCTGAAAGGCATTGCCTGTTATTAACAGTGTTCATAGCATTAGCGTAAGTAGTATACCCCACTATAGTAGGCGGAAGTGACGTCAGAGAAAAGGGGCGTGTCCTCCTCCATATTGGATCACGTGACGACCGTTCGCCATTCTGGATCACGTGATCCAACATGGCGGAAACCACGCCCCTTTTCTCTGACGTCACTTCTGCCTACTATAGTGGGGGTATACTACTAGCGTATTCAGTTGTGATTCAAATCTGAGAACATGAAAATCTTCATTAATACCTTTCTCCAAAAATATTTAATAGTTACGCTCTTTTATAAGTTCCCTGTACATCGTAACTATTAACTCTGCAATTAAAGCTCTAACTTTCGAAAATAATTGTTATCAATATAAAATAGAAAATATCCTTCAAAATACAAATAAGTATATTTGTATTTTGTGTAATTTGTCATCATATTTGTGTTATGGCTAATTTTGGAAAGTTTGAGTTTTCTTTGTCATTTTCATTGTTGACGTATTTAAGAAAGAGCCAGGACGTAATTTTTGTCTTTTATTATTATAAAAAAATGTACGGATTTCATTCTTCATTTTATTTACTTAAATAGCATTACTATTTCACTACTTTCTTATAACCTTCCGGGCACAGTTCTGTAGCTTATATGCTTTAGATAAAGCTAAAAAATCTTAAATAAGAAGATTATTAATTTTTTTTTTCTAAAACGATAATTCTGATGTTTGCTTGTAACTCATCATGTACTTAATGATAATTCACATCTTTTTAAATTCAGTTCATCAATGAGGTAATTAATGTAAATTAATATAAAATAATAATATTTTATTCCGCACCATTCTAGTGAAACTGCAGTCAGACTTGTAGAAAGCTACAGAAATCTTTATATAGGCAAAAAGTATATGATCAGAATGCAAATTTTTAATAAAAATAAAATCACTGTAATTGTTGACTTTGTGCTGTTTTATAACGATAAGTCGTTGTTATAATTTTCTTGTAATCTGTATTCATTTTCAAAACAGCTTTTCTTACATTAGTCTTGACTAATGTAAGAAAAACCAGAAATCATGATATTAGTCAATGATCTTTGACTAATTGATATTAGTCAATGATCTTTGACTAATATAAAAGTAAAAAAAAAACTGTGACGTTGATAAATATTGTATTAATTTTATGTTTTCTATTTTAGTTCTAAATTCTAGTTAATTATTGAAATGCACCTTGCCGAAAGTATTTAGGAAAAAAATGTGTTATTTATTTATTATATTTTATTGGCATAGATAAGATCAGTGTCGATGAACAAATAAACGCTAAAACTTGAGGTTTGTGTGCTGTATTTTATTGATCATGCGTCGTTCCATAAATTAGTATATTACTGATTGATACATACTGTTATGCCGTTGACTCAACCGTGCTGAGTTAAAAGTGAACTCATACTTTTTACAAATTTCACTATGTCGGTTTTCTACATTTGTACCACTGCATGACTAATCCTTTTCCAATATCACGTGAACCAATTTTAGATATTACTGCACTTTTCACTGCATAACTCAAATAAAATAATTGAGTGAAAGAGCACCTGTATATAGCCTTCTCATTTAAATGTTTTCTAGAGTTATGACATGTCGCGTATGTGATAACGATGCATTTTTGGACTGTCAATATACATTTTGTACATTGTTTTGTGTATAGAGCATTGCGTATATGTGTGAATTTGTGAATACTAGTCTAGTGCTGTTGTCCTGTCCCTGAATTAAACCGTGTTAGAGATAAAGCATCTCAGTGCCAACGTTTTGTCGAAATGTTTCCAGCATTCTGCACAGAAAGGTCACAAGGAGTTTTCAAGTAAAAAACTACTGCTTTGAAATTCTGCTAATAAGAAATACTTCATCTAAAAAGAATATTCATTAATTTTGTTTTTGTAAATTTAACATCCACTTGAACTCTTAAGGGGCGTTCAGACTGGGGTTTATCTGAGCTAAAGGAGTCAGTTCCATGTGTCGAGTAACTGCAGTTCAGATTTTTCAACTATAGGGTTTTCCCTATGGGGAAAAACTCGTTTTGGAAATGGGTCGATTATGTCAGATGTCTCCGTTAGCTCAAATAAACCCCAAATAAACCCAGTCTGAACGGCCCTTATAATGGTAACTCATCTTAACACATGCCAAAATCGGGTTACTAAAATAAATATATTTATTGTACCTCATTTTGGCTTCTTAAAATATGACAATTCAATTTGCATTTTAGTTTAAAAATTCGGGAACTTTGACGTAGACAAATATTATTATACTTTTAGGTTTTCAATTCTAGTTCTTAATACATGCAATAAACTTTCAAGTATTAAGTATAAGTATTAAGTATAAATAAAATTATACAATAGAAGTGCGCAGTATACAGTTTTAGAATGGTCTTAGCACATTTTAAAAATTACGATATAAACATTAAAATAGCATTAAAAATTACATAAACTATATTTAAATTGCCCTTTTTGTATTAATACTGTATTATTATAATTTAAAAACTAAATTTTAGTTTTTAGACAACTTGGAATAACAACTACTTGCGAGTGGCTGTTTCCTCAAGCGCGTGCATACAGAGAAGGCACTTTAATATTATAAGCAGTTTGCCAGACCAATGCATTATTAAACGAATGTAACGAAACGTAATGTAGCATAGCATAGCGTTATATAACGCGATGCGAAACGTAGGGGGGGGAGAATAAGCTACAAAGATTCTCATATCGATAAAAAATATTTACTAGTCATGTAAAATTTATTTGTATTTACCATCAATAAAATCTCAGAAATCGTTACCGTTCTAAGGTTAATTAAATGAGAAGCTGCTTTCACTAATAAAATTCTGTCCATATGACGTATTCAACGTAAAAATATTCTGTTCTTTTAAAGCAAAGGTTATTTATTATCTCTTAAAGAAACAATCAGAAATGGACTCTGTTTTAAATACATTCCTTTATTTTAATTACCTAAAAGTGTCTGACACTTTTTGTGATTTTGTCATGTTGATGTTTTATGTTGTTTTCTGGCTTTGACAACCCATCTTTTTGCCTAGCCTAAGTATAAAAATAAGAAACATAATTTTCTGCATGGTGAAATGGAATTTTGGATGTTTAAAATATCTTTTATGTTTTCTTTCTTCATTGAAATTAATATAACAAAAAATATTAATTGTTCAGGTGAAGAAAAATACTGTTGTTTAAGAACAGATTTTGAATTTTAGACGTGAGCATTTCTAAGAAAATTTACGGAATTTTGCATGTTTGAAATACCTTTTATGTGTTTGTTTTTCTTTGAAGATAACTGAACAAGAAAATCTTCTTAATTGTTCAGGTGAATAAAAGTATGATTGTTTTCAAAATCATGTTTTGAATTTTAGGCACGCGCATTTCTAGGAAAATTTATAAAACTTTAGCTATGACTATATTTTTAGTTTTATTCAACAATAAATTTTTACAAGTATAGCTGACTTGAAAATATTATACTCTCGAAAAGTAGAATGCATTTTTTAGCTTAACTTTCGAGTAAGATTCATTTTAGGACATAATAGTAAATAAATTTTCTTTTGAATGATTAATTCGACTGAATTCTGAAAGTTGATTAAGTAAGAAGACAGATGCTATATTTGAATTCTTTAATTAACTATTATTATATCTCTTTTCTTAGAAAAGCCAGGTAATATGTTTTCAAAGTTTTTGCCTACAGATATACTATCCAAATATTTTGTTCTTTTAATAATTTTTGCAATATATTTAACCTTTGTTAAATGTTAAATTCCACAGTCAATGGAAACTGTCATAATAATAATAATGTTCAGCTTTAATAATCTGTCACATTCCTTTGAATTTTTTTAAGTACTTCAGTAACGTATTTCAGAAAAATTAGAAATTACAGCATCTTTTTAATATTATGCAATATAACCAGTATATTGAATAAAATTAGTAAACAAGTAATAATATCGAAAAAAAGCACGTATAAAAAAGCTATTTGAATAATCCCTAATCTTGAATACATTATCATTTACATGTATTCAGGTATTTGCTTTTAAAACGTAACATGCATGTAACATTTAATTATGTTTAGACATGTAACATGTTTAAAATGTAGCATATATATATTTTCAAAGCATACTAATAGTGGGAATTATATATCATTATTGCTTTGATAATTTTATTCGAAAATACTGGAATAAGCTGAAGAATAAAAGTGATATTTTGAGTGTCTAATTGGTTTGGATAATGTAAGAAACCTTAATAATTTTGACAAGTGTAGAACAAATTTTTCCTAATTAGTTTTCAAAATTATATTTTAGTCTATTTATTATTTATTTGTTGTTTCAGTGAATATAAACTTCTAAAATTGATCATTATATAAAAGTTTTGTACAATGTGAATCAATTATATGTATCTCTAAATTTGTAAATTATTAATAGAATTTATTATGAATAACATAAAACTTTGTAATTATTTTGAATTTTTTGTGAATAACATAACAAACTTTGTAAAATGAATAACATTATATATAAAAAGAACCGTGTTATTATTGTGTTATTGCTTGCAATTTGTTTAATACTGCATGAGGTTTTACTATGGATTATTGTAAAATATTTTCATTTAAATCAAATCATTTTATTCAAAAGTTTACTAGTATTTCTCACAAAATATTGGAATGCAGCATACATACTATATAAAATAAAATGCGAGCAATTTCTCAAATTTTCGGAAGAAATACTACGTGTAGTGTTTCACAAAACTGATTCAATTGATTCACGTAGAAAATTATCTGAATTTAAAAGTCATTTTTATGAGACAGTATTTATACAAATTATAAGCTTATTTTGGCAATTTATGTGTTAAAAATGGTTCAGGAAGGCCATACAAAAACAATCTTAAAATTAACATATGATCTTAAAATATATAACATATGATTATTTAAAACGCTATTAAAAGTACGAAGTCGTTAAACCGTAAATTTAATTTAATTGCTTTAAAATTAATACTTAATTTTGGGTTACCAAACAGATGATTAATTTAATACAGTTTTTCAGAATACTGTAGTCAGAATGCTTCCAAATGTAGCAGGCCCCTTATACGACTCAGGTTTGAAGTTTCATAAGAACACGTCATTAGTTCGTGTTTTAATTATTGCTCTGACAATCTCTATCATTATTAGAATCATTATTCTTTTAATAATTTGAATTAGTAAACATTTTGAATAATATTTGTTGCTGTTGCATAAGGGTAAACAAATAACCTCCTTCGGAGTATAAATTTCTGCAACTCTTTCATTCCATGGATTAAGAAATAACATTTATTTACATGATGACTATTATGTATTCAGGTGAATTTTTAAATCACAAATTTCCCGGTATCTTAAATCGTTTAATTTCCACCAATGGTTTAAACAAAAGCATTTTCCATTCTTTCAGTAACTAAACATTCATAATATATAAAAATAGGAAAAAAAAATTAGACAAATTAATATGAGGATAGAAAAAAATATTGCCGTTTTTAATTTTTGATCACGTTTTTATGCACTTAAAATTAAAATTAAATACACTTAAAATTTAAATCCCAAATTCAAACAGAAAATAATGAAACTACAAAAAAAGGGTAAAAAACTAATTTAAGGTAAAGGTTCAAAAAGAATCATTGAAAAATTGTGTAATTTTTTTATAATGACCTTCTAGAGTTATTTCCTCAAAACTGACCAGTTTCTTGAAGTATAATAACTAAACTGTAAGACTGCGATTAAATTAATGTTGTATAATAGCAAATTTTATTTTTCTAACAGTAAATGTGCATCATCATCTAAAATTATGCATCAAAAGTCAGATGCAAAACTAAAAAGCACTATTACACTATATGATTTATGATAATCGCAAAACTAGTTCTTCTAAAATAATTTATCGCCTTTTACAAAAATTTAAAGGTAACTTAAATATTGGCTTAATTCAACTAGAAACATTTTTTAAATTCCAAAAAATAGCACAAAAGCCATTTAAACTCACAGCTCGCAAACCATTTGTGACGTATTTATTAATACATTTTTCTGGTTTCCAAAGTATATTTTATGAATTGAAGTAGTCATTAAATGATTAAAAAATAAACTAAATAAAATTCACACGTTCAGCTCGAGTTAAGGCGCCTAAAATCTATCCATTTGTTGGTTTTACTTTTTAAATTACAAATGACATTTGTAAAATTAGATTCTTTAGTTTTTAGTAAGAAATTATTCATATGGAACTCTAAAAAATCTATAATTTTACCTTTGGAAGTTGTTCACATGCATTTTAAAAATAAAGACAAAAGAAAACTGATAACATAAATAAGCCATTAAAGTGTCTTATTTTTATTCATATGTATGTATTCAATGTATTGAGAAACACAGCTTTAACACAAGTAAGCACATTTTATCTTGGCATTTTCGATTATTATGAATTCAGTATTGAGCATTTGAACAATGTGTACATATATTTTCACACTGCAAAATTTAAACGTTTGTTTTTCTTGACAAAGTATGAGATATTTTATGGAATTTTTGGCAAACTGACATTCATTGATATTTCACTAGACTCTGTAAATGTTTGTAATAAAGATATCATGCAAAGAAATGTGTTTTGTCTTCTGTCTTCATTACTAAAAGCACTAGAAATGAAACGAATTCATTGCTTTGAAAATTTTGGAATATTATGAAAATAGATGCTGTATGAAAATAGTCGGAGGAAAATAAAATACTAAAATACTGATTAGATAACTAAGAACGTTGTGCAGTAGAATTAATGACTGAGGAAAGTAAAAGACGTTATAAAGAAAACACTCTCGTTTCAGAATATGAATTAAGGCATTAACAGCAATTTGAGGTGGATTTTATGTGCATTTTAAAAGTTATTCGGTATAAATAAAGAAAAGGATTTCTTTGTTGAATAATATACATAATTAATTTTATGAAAATTATTTATATGGTTAGTATATGAATTAAAAAGCAGACCTTTTTAGTTTTTTATAGCAATTAAAAAATAATAATTAAAAGGAGTTCTTGTTTTACTTTTAAAGCATTTTTTAGCTCCTCTTCCCTCTAAAAAATATTTTTATAAGAATTTTATCAAAACAATTTTTAATAACTTTTCCCCTTAAAAAAAAGTAGGAGGGAGAATTTTAGAATGTAGAAAGTATATGATGTAAATGGACTTGTTTTATTTAATAGTAAGACAAAACAAACTAAAAATGAATTATTGAATAAAAATAATTTTAAAATCAATTCTAGTGAATAAAATTGATTTTTCTCATTTTTTTATTGAACTGAAATATGTTTTCATAACATTTAATACTTATTATCAATGTGGCAAACATTTCACTCCTTATGGAAATGGAAATCAGATGAATGTCAACTAGCTTCAAAATTATGCAGTAAATTAAGAAGTTATTAAGAATTATTTGTATTAAAATTTGTAACAACTCAGTTCTTGATTACTTGTCGAAATTAAAGAATATTGACAGAAATTTCTTATTGAAAAGACTATTAAAAAAAATTTATGCAAAAACATTATGTAGCATAAAATTACCATGTTTACCAGTTGATTAATTCAAAATATTCAATTTAAAGTCAAAGTTATGGAAAATTAAAAACGATGAAAAAATAACCTATCAAGCTTGGCAACATATTTTTCTTCGTATGATGCATGGCTGTAAAGTCAGTAGGTTTTTTTTTTTTTTTTTTTTTTTTAAATTTTATTTTTTAAGAAAAAGACGTGAAAATTTGCCATGCTCTCGCCGGGATTCGAACTCATGACCTCTCGAATATGCATTGAGTATGCTTCCAATTGCATCAATCCAGTCGCCAAATCCTGGTGGTGACGAATTATCGTCCACCAGGAATTAAAAGTTGGACCAGGAACTAAAAGTTGGAAGAATTATCGTCCAACTTTTAGTTCGGGCACCACTTGTAGAATCTTTTTTTTAAGCTGAAGACATGAAAAATATGCAGTGCTGTCGCCGGGACTCGAACCCTGAAACCCTCGAATATGCTTCCAATTACACCACGAAAGCGTGTGGAAATGAGGAAGAAAATACTTTACATGTTCACCTCTGACAGAAACGCAAACCTCAAAATTTTGACTTCAAAGAGTAAATTCTTGTGGAATTTCACAACTCACTTTTCCGATTCTAGACGATCGGGTGAGGCATATGGTATACTGCAATTCGGCAACGTAAGGCATCCCGCACAAGTTCAGTGGAGTTCATCTGGTGAGTATGCTGTCCAAACCATTCGAAGTATATTTGGTGTTTCCAAGGGTTCTGTCACCAGAGGTGATCGATGCGGATGAGTATTGTTATCCATTAGCAGAAACAGTGGACTAACAGTCGACTTAAGCAGCCTTACATGAAATTCCAAGACTTCGCCCTTTTATCTGTGTCCAGTTAGTTTGTTGTTGTTCATCAAAGATATACAGCTCGGTGTAGCTATTTCTGATGACTCTATCCCTAATAATACGAAACGGCTTTCGCGAAAGCGGGATCTTTCACGAATAAGCGAAGACAAGTTACGTGTTACTCGCTCCCTCTGGATCAAAACACGTCTGGAATTACAGATCAGGCTGTATCTGGACTTATCAATAAACAGCACACAGTCCCATTCCTCTTGGTTTCATTGAACAGAATAAAAGCAACACTTTAAACTGGCGATAAAACTGAGAGGGATACAAAACATTTATTTTCTTCTTCCAACCTCGTGAGTACAAAGGACTTTTTTATCCAAAAAAAAAAAAAAAAAAAAACGGATTTAAAAATGGCTTCCGAAGGGTTTTTTTTTTTTTTTTTCGTGATGTCTGTAACGTAGGTATGCATGCGTGTATCTCGCATAACTAAAAAAAGATTAGTCGTTGAAGGTTTGTATATTTGGAACTGCAACTGCTAACAGCTAGTTGTGCACCTTCTTACCCAGCTGTGTGAGCTCTTTTTTTTTTTTTTTTTTTTTTTAAATTTTAGAAATTTGCGCATTTTTTGCTTTGAAAGTGATTGAATTATGTTGTTCTTATATTCCGATTAAGGTTTTTATGCCTTTACTTAATCCGCATACAACAGTTTGTAGGGTTTATATTTATTTTAACTAACATTTATTTTAAGCTATCTTTCCTGTCAAGCCTTTACTTTCCCCTAGAATTGCCAATGCTAGAGTATATAAATTGTAGTAAAGCGCGCAGTATATTCAAATTTAGCAGATGTAAGTTGAGTTTAAATAGAAGGAAAACGAGTTTGTAGGTGTGCTTCTTGAATCGCGAACGTGAAGGTTGCTAGGTAGAAATTTAAGAACCGCGCGTTTCAGCCTGTGTGCCTATCTCGGCAGTTTTCGATGAATCCTTCAACTGCTTAATTAGTAAGCTCGCTGAATCTCAGCTGTATTTTAGAACGCGGTTAAGTTAGTGATTCAACTATTTATTCATCCAGTCATTATTTTTCAGTTTTTACATTCTGGTGCTGTTAAACGGCCGGGTCGGCGTAGTTTGTGAGCATCAAGTGGACGCAGCTGTTATTTTTAAAGTGGAATAAAAAGGGCTTTAAACCCTTCTTACGTGTTTGTGTAAATCTACATTTCGTAGCAGTCACTACCACAGTTGCTGACAAGTTGGGGCCACACGTTACTACAAGTTTTAGAATTATTAACAATTAAAAAGTGTAAGTTCCGCTAAGCCTATTTGTTTACATTTGATACTCTTAGTATGCTAGTGAATTAAGTCAATTTGTGCAGCTACTTCGGAGTCTTTTTATCCAGTGGTAACCAAAAAATTTAAATTTTTACACACCGAAAATTTTGACTTTCTGCCCGTTTTCCGAATTTCTTGTTTTTGCTTAAGAATCTCTAATTTTTAACTGTTTCTTACTTTCTCTTGATCCATGCTTTTAAATAACAATTAACCAATACTGATCGTTCTCAGAAATCACATTAATTTTACAGAATAATATATATCCGAATTCCAACTTAGTCCATTGAGCATCGCTGCTTAATTTGCGTATTTCATGAGCTGACCTATACGTAAAACTCCAATTTTGTGTTAAATTTTCAGATAATTAGCAAAACTAATTACACCATTTTACATTGGTAGAAAATTTTAAATAGTAAGCATATATTTTTCAGATTGTCCTTGAATTCTCATAAGCACTGGTAGCCCAAAGGGCTATTAATTTAGTTTTGGCATTTTTAGTCGAAAACTTTAAATATCCGTTTCCACTTTTCAAATTGTTGCTACCGAATATTATCTCCCTGTGCTAAAGAAATTAAATAAAGAAGAATCTGCATATATATATATATATATATATATATATGTTTCTCGCATTGTGATAAAAAACAACGGTACCTAGATCCATCAAATTTTGAATAACGTGCATCTCCACCCGAAAATGGACATCTGGAAGCCCAAATTTGGAATCTGGAATTTATTTTATTATCTATTATCTCTTTCATATTTTGTAAAGCATTTATGAATTTTTGATTAAGAAAAATCAACGATTTCAAAGTGAGAAATGGCAACACTGTACGAAAAATAAAAAAATTATTTCCAACGCGCGAAACTGTCTATCAGAAATTCTAAAGATACGCGAAGCCTTTTAAATTATTTGGCGATATTGCTGTTGAATTGAATTTTATGGTTTAAGTGCGAAGAACATGATATTTAATAAATAAAGGTACCACACAAAACGTAAAAAAAACGCCTCTTTTGGGATTAATATAAAATCTCAAATTTTTCAGACTTCTTTTTATTTTTTACACAAAATGTGCTTTTATAATTTTAAAAGTGTAATTCTGCAGCTGAAACATAATATGCGAATTTAGAAACACCTATCATGAACTATATTCTTGAAAAGTGAGAATTTTTATAAGATTTATAAATTAGATACATTATAAATTATATCAAGTGGGCATGTTATTAAAATAAGGAAGCAAATATTTATAAAGACCAAAATTAGACATAAAAAACGGCGTTAACTAATGCTAATAAAAGGTTAAACCAGAGAATTATTCCTAATTGGTTGTATGGTAATGTAACGGCAGTAGTTTTTTTATTAACTCAGCAGTGGTTTAAGTGGTCTTAAAATTATAAGTCGGGTATATTATAAATTATATTAATTAAATGTATGATAAATTATAGATATTATTAAAAAGTTAAATAAAGCTATGAATTGTATATTGTTGGGTGCGTTCGGGTTCCTAATAGATTGAATGCTCAAGTTAATAAAATTTATTCTTATCCCAAGAAATAAAACAAAATGCTGAAATTTCCTCAGATATATTCCTACAATATCGCAATGTCTCAGCAATTATATTTTAAACTACTTAAATGTCAAGCCTACCAGCGGCCGAGCAGTAACGTCGCTGAACACTGGTAGTTCGGTCCAAGGTTCGAATCCCGCGAACGGGCTGGCTGCATGGGCGTTTTCGTGGTTTTCTCCATGTGTAATGCGTATACGAGACAATTTCCCTTAGAAAGTCCTCCACGAAGGCATCCCTCCCTTAAGGCAGATAGCCCTTGAGTGCTTTGCCGTAATCTAAAACCAAACCAAACCAAACTTAAATGTCAAATAGAACTCAATTCAAAAACACAGAGAAAGCTAATCC